AATAATTATTTTGCGGGGAAGAAGGAACGTTGCACGTTCTTGGAATTTAATTAAGATAAAAATTTTGCTTGCTCGAATCAACGCAAGCCGGAATATTAAAAAGAAAGGGGAGCAATAGAGGGAATCTTTCAATAATGATCAACGCTTTGTAAGGAAGATTTAATTATTTATAATTTAATTTTAAGATTGTTTAAAAACGCAAAATACAAAAGGAAACTTAAAATGTTTTATTTAATTAAAAACGAAGAGTTTGATGAATTATTTATTTAAAGATATATATAGTAACGTGTATTTCTAATCGAATTTTTCAAATGCAATTCGCGATTAATCATTTTATTAAATTATGTTATTTATTTTAAAAATTAAAAGTTAATTTTTTAAATACCATAGGAATTATGGTGCAGCTATCTTGCGAAGATAAATATTTCTTTGGTATTGTAAAATGTCAAAAGATTTCAATCCAAGACTTTATCCAGCTTCTAAGAATTTAATTCATTTTAATGCAAGTTGTAGTATTAAGTAACCGAGAAAGTTTCGTCATCTTTTACGGCGGAGAAAGAAACTACGAAAAGCATAGAAAATACATTTTATTCGTTAAAATAATTATTCTTATTTTTCTTGGACGGAGAAGATACAAGTAATTAATTTCAGAAAGTGAAAAATTCTTCTTCCTGTAGATAATTGGCCTATCTTAACAAAACTTACTCTAATAATCCAAATCGCGTATAGTAAAAATTAGAAATTTTAATTTTTTCTTTTTTCAAAAATACTTCTTGAATATCAATATAAGATAACAGGCAATTCGATTTGTTATTCTTGATTAAACTAACGAGTTACACTAGAAAGTATAATTTATATAAAAAATTAAAAAAAAAAAAATGAAAAGACGAATTATTCACGATTTTCAATCACCGAATATCTCTCGCGTTTACAACTATTTTCATTACAAGAAGCCATCGCTTCCCATGATGAAAACACGAGGCTGTGCTATAAACTTGTCTGTCAACTTGGCCAGAAAATCTCCTCCCGTAAATCACGCGATAAACTAAAATAAACGTAGGAAGCGCTTTGAAATTTTCTCGGGTGGAAATACTTGCGAACAACATCCCCCAACAACGATATCTCGGTATTTTTCCATCCACCGGAAGGGAAAAGACACACAAGTTGCGCGATAGATGCCGGATTTCCGTCGAGACCCATCCGTATTCGTCACCGTCGAATTATGCAACGCCAACGAATTTACGTGTTCCCTCCGCGAGGATTCGCGTATCCACCTCATTCTCGCTCGAATAAGTTTGCAATTTTTGCGAAGAAGTGGAAAAGAAAAGACGCCCACGTTTAAAATCTGAAATCTTGGCTCGGAACGAAATTTAAACTGAAACGTTTAAATCGTTGCTCGGATTTTGATATTAATAATTTCGAAACTGATTTGATAAATGATGAATGAAAAATCCAAAAGTAAATGTGCATAGAGGGATGAGATAAGCTAGAATATATTGTGATACGTGCTAGTTTATAGTTCTTTGTGCTTAAGGTGAGATAAAAATCTAAATACACGTAGCATTTATCTTGAAGAATCTCTTTCAATAAAGTCTTTTGCTTAGTAGAATATTTAAAACTGTATCATGCAGTAATTATAATTCAATATTTTTCACAAAATTGATATAAATCAAAGATATAATAAATAAATTTCCCAAAAAATTAAAGATTAATTTAAATCAGGAGTAAAAAAGAGAATACAAGTAATTTAACAAAAAGAATAATTTTATAGAAAAGCAAGCAATAGCATGGAGATGAGAAGCTTTCAGCATGCTTTGGGGGATGAGAAATGGCAATGGAATGAACAGAATAAAGTTATGTTTCTCGATGAAAGAGGAAGGATGAGTCTGGCCAGGATTTCATCGTATCAGAAAGCAATTCCGATTGTACGAAAGCCCTAGGAACGATTCCTTTTCTTTTTTTAACTCACCTCGGAATCTCGGCGATGCTCGGATTCTGAAAATGTACGGAGACACCAGATAAGTTGGATTAATCGTTTTCTATCACGGCCAATCGATGTTATCGAGGGACGAAATTCCATTCCCGACGAAGGGCATAATTCTTTCCCTTATCGTGAAGATTCGTCTATTAGACGGTTGGAAATTTTATGGAAGAGAATCATCTTCATTGAATCCATTAAGCCGGTGTAATTAGCTAGAGTAGATTAAAAGATCGACTGGCATCGTGGGAGATATTATCGATCGTGTGAAAAGAGAACTTTTGGTCAAAAGGAATGGATAATTTTCTCGTTGATATCTTGGGTATCTTTGATAATTATTATCTCGTTATTGAGAATAATTACTGTTTCTTTTTTTAATTTTTTTTAATTAGAATTTATACTGGCTGATATTGAGATTATTATTTCGAATTGATATAATTTTATACGTAGAGTATATTCACTTGTACACGATAAAAATATCAATAACTGATTAAACTTCCAATTGTTGATTACCATCGATTTTTTTTTTTTATACGTAAAATAAAACGATGCTTCGTGTTCAAATAAAAACAATCATTCCTCTTTATTTACAGAATTGGAATCAACTTCACAAATCCAAGTCAATTTTAATATAAAAGTTTCACTTTAATGAAAATATGAGTTGATCCAATAAAAACTAATGTTTCATTTTCTGCATTTATATACGGCTTCGTGTAATTTTAAAACTACCTGTAGGATTCACCAATTGTGCTTATATAATCGTGCATATATTTAAAGACAAAGCAAATAATAATATTCGCACGTTTTGTCAGAATGAAAAGTCTCTGCGATTTAAATCTGTCCGCGACACGGTTAATCTGATTCCGTCTAAAATTTCATATATAAACATCTAAATTTTTAACAACGTTAACTTCAAACATTCTTTTAATAGAAAATTTAAATCAATCCTATCTTATATAATTAATTTTCCACGAAAGTTCTCTTTAACCATCGATTAAATCTGTATTGGCCATTTGATATACGAAAGCTACGTTTATTTCCCAACAGCTTCCAACAATGCGTGCAATGCAAACACGCACAAACGTTTACGTGCACGAAGTCGCATCCAACCTTTCTAACAAACTGTAAACCAGGATCCTTCCACCAACGTTCACGATATAACAGGCAATCGTCGCGTCCAGCTAACAGGGTCCACCCCACAATTTACCAGCGAAAATATTCTACTTGGTAGCTCGATATCATCGATTGCCCGGCCCCCAACGTGGCGCGTTACATAAATTTACCTCGTACGTGTATCGAGAAATGGCATTCGGCTCGATTTCCGGCTGCATCGGAAGCGATGTAGCGCACGTTGTGAATGCCGGGGTACATCAGTTGTCCGGGTTCCTGGGATGGGAATATACGCGAGTTAACTTTCGATGGAAGTCGAATCTCGAATCCACGCAGGGATCGAAATATGTATGTAATATCTGGTTTTGGGTATACTCGAGATATCGTCCCTCGAATTATTATCTGAAGAGGCGAACCGAATTTCCGTTTCGATAAACTTGCCCTGAAACGACCAGATTCCCCTTCCTCCTCGAATTATAGAATTCTTGGACGATTCTTCTCTTTCGATTATTAATTTGTAATCTCTCTGTTCACTTCTCTTCTCTTCTCTTCTTTTTTCTTCTTATTGTTTCTTTTCGATCGATTTTCGTTCATGATGAATCAATCTCTAGGGTTCGTTGGAAGGATTAGGGTGTATTTTCGAGGGGGGAAAGTTGAAATATCTTAGCTGGTATAATTTTGGAAAGTAATTGGGAAAAAGAGAGAAATTGCTATATATTTAGAAATAGTATTATTATAATAACGGATTGATTCAGAAAATGTAAGTTTAAATTTATTGTCGTGTAAGAATTAGAAAATGTGATCATTGAAAGAAAAATTTGATTAGAATTAAATGAAATTTAATTATATTATAGGAAGAATATATTAAAAGAGATCTTTTTCGAATGAATGGAGATAGATCATTGATAGAAAGATAATTAAAATAATTCCCAATTTGTATTTAATATTATCAAAAGATGATTTAATTTGAAAGATAGCAACGAGAGCAAATTGATGACAAGAAATTATATAACTATGGTAGAATTAAGACAATAAGAAATATCGAGCTACTTTTTCAACAAGTTCTGGCGGACATCGATTAATTAACGGGTTAATCAATTTTTCTCGTTACCGTCACGGTAATTCAGAAAGAGCAAGTTCAATTCCAACAATTCCAATCGTTATTGATTTTTTGAACGCAATAAGAAACTTTATCCGTATAAATTAATATTAACCAATTTAATTTAATCATTTATATCCTCGTTCAAAAGAATTTATAAATACAAATACCACAAGATTCATTCACGTACAAAAATATTATATATATTCACTTACCATCCACTTATTCCTCTTCATCGTTTCCAATACCATCTTTTTCCTTTCATTTCCCTCCTCCGGATATATCCTCCATTTTTTCCAATCTCTACACCACCACACTCACCTTCCACCCCGTTTAGAGGCAGCTTTAATCGACTTAACTTAGCAATTTGTCCGCGCACACCGGAACGTTGCGTTTATTAACCGCGTAGGAGGAAGCTCGCCAATTATCGCACGTCCGACCAATTCGCGAGCACGTTATCGCGTTATAAACCCAACGATCGCGGTGTCGTTCACCTGCTTGACACGTGCTCCAAACCGTCACTAATTGCCATCGACCTCAAACTTTCCCAACTGTGCACCACGGAATACAAACGGAAAGTAAATATCGAACGAAACGAGGATAAACTGGTTGACGAGTAAATAAACAAAAAGAAAGAAAGAAAGAAACGAAAATTGAATAAAGTTGATCTTTCAACGTCTCCACCATTTCACTTTCCAACTCTTAATTAAGGCAATTAACAATTTGCACTTGAATCGATGGAAAGTAAAATCAAAAAAAGATTGTGCAATGAGATTAATTTGCAACAACATTTATAAGTAAAGAGCAATTTAAAATATAAATGTTACTCAATATATATATATGAAAAGTATATTAATCTATTTAATGAAAAGAATTAGAAACAAGCAAAGGTTCTCTTATTTTAAAGAGATTACTTTTTATAAAGTACATATTATAGAATATTTATATCTATTATATCAAATTTTTATTGAAATATAACATGGATATCTGAATAATTTTCAGGTCATCAAATCATCAATTAATCTCAAAATATTTTTTCCTATCTATAAAATCCTAAAAAAGAAATCTACAAACCTTTACATTACGATGACAAATCTTTACAATATTCCTAACATAATACATAAGATTAATTTCCACGTAAAACCTATCTTCGTTCCTTCCTCTAACTTTGAATTGTTAATTCCTGGAGTGAAAAAAATCTTCAAGTGCAAAGAGTTAATGATAGAAGAAAATTACTACATCAGCCATAGATAGATAACCGCAAGATTGGTGAGTTTGATCGTTAAGGGAGAAAGTTTTAATAAATCCAAGAGAAAAAGCGAGTTGGGGGAAGGAAAGAGAAATGGGGTGAAGATTCTTATCCCTTGGGAGATCGTGCGAAAGGAGGGGGGAGAGGGAGAGAAGGGGGCGGAAATAAAGGAAGAAATAAAAGGAGGGGAAGGGATGGTCGTCACCTTCTCGAGATCAAACAACGGGAGGAGAAATTTTCGAGGGGAAATTTTCGAGGGAAGGGTTGGAAATGGAGACAGCGGGGATTATTCGGCCGAATTCAATGTCGTTTGCTCACCCTCGTTTTGTAGACCCGTTCGACGCCGACGTTGTCGGTGAACGTTGGCTCCTGCCAGAATATTAAACGATTCCGCTCGCCAGGGCTTAGCCGCACTTCAAAGGATGTCGGGCACGTCGAAACTTTTGGATTCTCAGTATCTGTGAATGGTAATATAATCATTCATCGATATGGTAAACAAATTTTTAGGGGTTGCAAGGGGTTATGTTGAACACGGAGATTGAGGAGAGGGATGGTTTTTGGAGGAGGTCTTCATTTTTGAGATTCAAATTGATTAATTTGTGAATTCTTTTTGAATCCTTTGTGAATGTATATAACATCAGTCAGTTAGTAAATAAATTTTTCTATTCTAGATATTGTAAAGTTTCATCTTTTGGAATTTAAAATTATGATTTAAATAATCAAGATTGTCGTGCGTGTATAAAAAGATTTAAACAAAAATAATTCTGTAAAATTTCGTTGGAATAAATATATTAATTTCTATATTAACGTAAGAAGATAATTAAAATATTTTCTTAGAATTTTTAGAGCTTGATTTTCGTGAAAAATTCTTAATCTTTCTTTTATACTTTGCCGTTCAATCTTTTCTTTCCCTTTTCTTTTTCATTAACCGTTATAATCATCTCTTTTCCTTTTTTTTTTCATTAAAATTTTATCTTGAAAAAGATTTTCACTTAAAATGTTATTAAAAGATGATATTTGAAAAGATTATTTAATTATTTACTTATTGTGTCCGATCAAATCAATATCAAAAGATATTCATCAAGTTGTAATAAATTCAATGCACTTCGTTTCTTATACATTACAATTAATTATCGTCATATTTTTACCGTATATTTTATTAAATTAATGTATAATTCTCTTATGTATGAAGTTAAAAATAACAACAATAATTTAACTCGGTGTTTATTAAGCTAATTACCAAAACTGGATATAATAAATTACCGATACGTTCAATTATATATTAAACAAACATTAATAAATCAAGCGTTATAAAATATATTCCAATAAATAATAATTATTTGTACAATTGATCGAAATTTTCTACCATTCTTCTATCAATTTATTATTTTTAATTTTGAAACATTCTTCTTTTTATCTAATTTTCTTCTATTCCTTTCTTCTACTTATTACTCATTGTAAAAATTTATTTGGCTTATGATAATTTTAATTTCTCTTTTGAATTAAAATTTCTCAAGATATAACTTATCTTCTTAATTTAACAACAATATTGTAATTTTTTCCAGGTCATATTAGACATTTTCACGCCACGCCATTCTAACCGGTTAGCGCCACTTTAATCGTAATTAGTCCACCCAAAAGGATATAATGAAATCGTAGGATCAAGCAATTAACAATCACTGTGCCCAAGGATCAACACCTATTTCGCGTAATTGCATATCGAACAGAATCCATCCTCTGACCGCCATCGTCGTCCCACCTCCCTCCATCCACCCTGTCCACCCTGTGAACTCGCTCCAAGGGAGTTTCGCGAACTTTAGGAATGAGTAATTAAGCGAGACTCCCTACAAGTGCACTCGCTGCGCCAGACCGAACTTCCCACCATCGGTATCGATGCCTCGATTCGAAAACGGGATCGAGGCCGATTTCGTTCCAACGACCTTTTGAAAAAGTTTCCCCTTTATCAGGAAATCGATCGTTCCCCTCCATCCCACCACCCTGCTCTCCACCCTCCCCTTTTTCTTCCCTCGTTTTTCCACCGATCTCCACCAACCCTCCTCCACTCCAACTCGTTCCACCCCCTTCTTCTCGCTGTCCTCTTCCTCCTCGTAGATTGGATCGCGGCTTTGTCCGATTTCTTCGTTAATGCCCTTCGATCGGTGGACGATCCATCGGTGAATTGGTGCACGTTTCTTTCCTCCTCTTCGAGCAAACGTTTCCTCCATCCTTAATCGGCGGCTCGTAGTTTTGCGCAGGTTCGTGAACTTTTACCAAAGGGTGGAAATGATAGGTTGGGTTATGCGTGTACTTGTGCAAGTGTACACAAGGAGGGAAGTGGAAGAGAGAGAGAGAATGGGAAAGGGGAGAATTAATTGTACGAATTTGAAAGTTTCGTTCTGTCTGATAAGGGGATGAGTTTTTCCTCGCCGGTGTAGCGAAGAGAGAAGCGAAGGAGAGTTTCAATTTTTATTACGTTAATTCAGCGTGTTTGCCGTTGTTTGGCGTGCTGTTGTTCGGTTGTAACTACCGAAGTTTCAACTTTACAACTTTTCAACATGGTAGAAATGGGGGATTATGCAAATTCCGATTCTTGAAGTTTACTTTTATTTTCTCTCAAACATTTTGAATATTAATAGAATCTTAATTTATGATTCTATTTAAAAAAAAGTAATGGAAAAGTTGTGGTGATCATTGAAAACTCGTATAATTTTCTGAGTAATAATAATAATAAGACAATAATGGTCTTACTTATCCCATCTTCTTTCTCATTCAACGTTATCCTTTATTATTGAGATATTATCGTAGAATATCTTCAATTTTAAAAATCAATCGCAATATTTGTATCGAAAATTATTGATTTAGCAAATATTCCTTAGTTCGCAAGAATGCATATAATTGCAGTGTTTCCATCTTCGAAATCGACGAATCGATCCTTTAAGCGCTATTCTTCAAATTGTTTTCCGTGTAATTCGTCCCGAGGGAGAAGTCGCTTCCTTTCAGGAACAGCAATCAGGAACGATGAAACGGAAGTTTGCCGGTGACAGGGCGGGCAAAGATTCCGCCATCATCGGCGATTCGAATATCATGAAGAAATGAAGCGAGCAAGCAGAAAGGGCAGCTCTTACAATGGCAATGTCGATTTTTGCGGTTTCACAGAGCTCTCTCGTGTAATTCACGACCGATGAATTGAACTGTGCACGGGAAAAATATGAAACGATTGCTCTTGGATTTCGTCTCTTTTGTTGAATTATCTTTCGGCGAGAAAAAAATTCTCTATGATGAAATAAAAATGAAAATTTAACCCGTAAAAAATCCAAGTTGGAAAAATTATTTTTATTTTCATTTGGCAGATTATTTTGGAAATTTACTTCTCGTGAAAAGTCACGTAATATTCGTGTACAATTTTTATTTAATTCGCCAGATTATATATTTTATTTTTTAAATTCAATCAGTAGTTGATTAGTTATTAAAATGTATAATTATTTGTTAACTAATTATTGATTATTGATATTACATTTTACACAAATATTATATTCGATTGTCCAAAAATTATGAAATTAAAAAGCTTTTGATTAACTTCACATTAAACTCGAATCAGTCAATTAAATTTGGAATCTTTAATATATCAATAATAAGATTGTTTTAAACAATATTGTTTCTCGTGTAATTTATATATTAAAACTCGATTCTTATTGATTCAAATATCAATAAGAATTTGTGTACTTAAGACATTATTTGTTTTCCAATTTTTAAAATAAAAAATTGAAAATAAACTTCTCCATTAAATAACATAATTCGATTTAAATTCCAAATAAAAATCCACTCGGTATCAAAAATACAAAGAACCCGAATACAATTAATTCCACTCTATTGAGAAAATAATAATAAAAAAAAAAAAAAAGAAGAACAGACAATAACAAATCACGTTCGACAAAAAGATATCGTATAAGATATCGTAGAAAACGTAATATCACGTAAACGTACATAAATCTGATAAAATGAACGCACAAGATAAGCCTCGTGAGAGGTAGGGCACAGTTAGAGGCCTGACATTAATAATAGAGACGTTATATTGAACGATCAGGATGAAGAATTATGGGACACGTTTGGTGCACCTCTGAAAGCCAGGTTACGAAAAATCCTTAGAAACAAAGGGACCACGTGAGAAAGTCTGTTCACGAGATGATATGTGATCGACCGTTTTTGATTTCTTTCTTTGCGCGAACTTCGCTTTAGGCTAAGGCTTAAGCCACTATTCGCTGGTTAAGCAACGTAAATCATACAACACCCGAGATCAAATATAATACCGCAAAATAACGTTTCTATTCGAACTGTCGGCGGCCACAGCCATTTATTTCTCTGCGTTACGCGATATAGTGCCGACTGGCCTATGAAACGTGATTACATCCATCGAAAACTCTATCGATTCTCGGTTTGCAAGTTGAGTTTTGTTGTATGGTATTCTCTCTCTTTTTTTTAATTTTTTGCTAGTTCAATGACTATCTTGATCGATAAAATCGTTTTGCGCATTTTGATCGAAATGGTGCTCTCTGTGTAATAATGTTTTGTGTATCCATTGGGTATTATATGTATTTGTGGTGGACGGATTGTATCGCGTAATGAAGGAATTCTGTAATATTTGATATTTGAATATGCGAAATATGGAAGATTTAGAAATGTGTTGGTTTTGGAAATTATTATCTATTAGAATTTGTTATTATTAACGATAACTCTTCATTGCTGAATATTTCTTTTATCAAAATTTCACGAGATATATTTTTCAATTGATATATATGGGTAACAATAATTTATATGTATAAACGATATTATCTTTAAAAAAGTTTTACATTACATTTTACCAACACATTTTATAATTTAAACAAGAATTTATTAGAAGATGGAAAATGAGAAATAGATATCCACAATGTAAGTTTATTGTATGTATTAAATTATCATAAAATGGAGACATGCTTTTTTAAGTTAGCATAAAAACTATACTATGTATAAAGTTTTATGATTTTTAAACTCAAAGGATCTGAAGTTTTGCATTTTATCAATTTTTCTTTGACCATTTTCCTTTTACTTCCAGCATTTTTAATCTTTTTTTTTTTTACTATAGTATGTTTATTATTGGTTTTCAAATAAGTTTCCATTTCCAAATAATTTTTCTTCAAGTTCATTACTGCTATTCATATTATTAATAATTACAAAAATTCCATTTCTAGCTTGTTATTAAATGGCATTTTCATAAATTATATTTCATTTTTTTTTACCAATTAATTTCTTGATCATATGCAAGTAATATATTTATGAAATGAAAAAAAATCTTTATTTTTCTTTATATTTAATATATCAAAAAATTCCAAACTCGATTAGGCAACAATAAATACATTTTTCAAGTTATTCTTTTAAATTAAATTCTTCAATTATTTATTATATATTTTAATTTTAAAATATATAGAAAAAAATTAATAGATACGTGCACTTTAATTATTTTTATTTTTGTGTTTTGTTCAATAATTCAAATAGAAATTTACAACTTTTTCAATGATATTCTATGATATCTACTATTATTATTATAAAAAATAAAAAGAATGACAAAAATAAAAGTAGATAAAGTCGGTAAAAAATAGAATAGCAACAATAGAAGCGGTGAAATAACATTTTCATGGTGTGAAAAACTCTTTTTTTTTATCGATATCTCGATGACCTCAATGGGAAAGAAACGGGAGAAATAGAGCTACAGGTAACGTGGACTACATGTATTTATGTGACGTTGCTACCGGAAACCGTCGCAGTCCTCTGGAGAACGTTTTTCCATCGAGTGCTATTGCGTACTCACGGAAACCAATGAAACAATGACGTTACAATGAATTTAATGCGACTACGTTTCGTGAAACGAATTGGTTAACTAACTCGAAAATCGATTTTGAATCGAAAATTTGTTGCTTTGAAATTTTTTAAAGTTTGGAAAAAATAGCAAGGGAAAAATAGTTGCAGCAATCTTTATAATTATTTTAATAATTATTGTTGATAAAAATTATATTTTAAATCTTTGAAATTTGATGTTGTGTATTTAATTATGTAAACGATTATGTAAACCTTCTGCACTCATTAAAAATTTTACGCCTAACAATTTAGAATACTAACAATAATGACTTATAGAAATCCATATATTAGCAACGTGTAGCACAAGCAAGTCTCTTAATCGTATGGAATTAAGATTGCAACGCCTAACACGAATCTCTCATGACACGAAAGTTGCATAAATTCGAATCGAAACGACATTGTTAATTCTCTGATCACTGATACGTGAAATAGGATTTAAATCGCGAAATTCCTGCCAGCTTGCCATTAAATTATTCTCGTAAGTGGCAATTCTCGAATTTTCTATCACATGGATCGAACATGCGCCATAATTTGATATCGATATTTCCATGTTCGTATATTTATGTTATTATAGTTTGCATGTTTTGTAAATACTTAAATCTGTATGCTTTTTAAGAAATTTATGTAAGAATCTTGTGCAAGATTTAAATATTAAATATCATGAATGAATTTAAAAGTAGTAACGAATATGTAAGATCCTTTTTCCATAACAAAAGCAGTAAAAAGTAAAATTATTATTTGCAAAAGATAAAAATGTTTCTGCCACAACATTTGTAATTTCCAAACGTAATTCGAACTTGGATTGAAGTTTTCATAATTAAACTTTTAAACTTTACCTCAAGATTCTTGCCAGCATCATTTTTTCCTTTTTTTGTTTGCTTTTTGTGAAGGAAAATAAGATCATATATTTTAAATTTTACTATTATTATTATTAACTAAATAATGAAATATTAAACAATAATTAGACATATAGAAATATTTATTGAATGGAAAATTTCTGCCAGAGATAAGATAATCTTATATTTCTTGAAATTTTTAAGAAAATTGAAATTTTGTCAAATCATGTTTTGATATAGCTCTAAATTAATTTTTTGTTTGTATTAATACTTTTCTTATGTTAATACTTTATTAAAAACTACTTAAAAAAGTGAACAATATTCACACATTATGTTTCATTGAATTTTTATATTATAAACATATAATTTTAAATTTCAATTAATTATATATGTATATTATATATATAATTATAAAATTATCAGTATATATTATAGAAATTTTCGATGATAGATTTATTCGAAAACCTAGTTTCCTATAGAAGAACTTGCATTTTCAATTTATCTTTTACATTCCCCCTCTTCTTGCTCCATATTTACACACACAATCGCAAACGAGGCCTATGTCTACATATAACATATATCCACTAATTTCCTCATAAATCGATACATTTACGATCAACAATCACGCTATATTTACAAATACTCACCTCGAACACGGATCACTATCCTGCACGTACTAGTATAATTCGAAACGGGCGACCATGCTGTGAAAGTGACGACCGTCGTACCTGCTGGTAAATCCGCTTGCAATTGCTTAGCCCATGATGGCGAAGCGTCCACGTACCTGTAATACAATCAAGTCGTCCATTAATCCATTGATCGTAGAATCCACACTTGTCACGTACGCACAAATTTGTTGAGATCACGATCTATCTGCCAAAGGATACGAGATTGATCGACGACCAATTAACATACGTACGAATATGAATCCATATTGCATTTTACTGTCCCTAAGACGATTGACGCGCCACGTCGCGGATGATTTCTCTATCATGCCGCGTAAAAGCGTTTACAACGCTCGACTGAATAAATAGAGATGTGAATACAAATACCGGAGCAAAGACGTGTATACGGTCTTGGAAGGAAGCCCCTAAGCTCGTTTGGAATTCCTATTGTGCGCTGCAGAAGGCTTGCGAGCAGTTCCCGTTGCGACATAAGATAAACCATTCTATTGTGGTGACATATTGCAACGGAGAGATTCGCGAAAAGAAATTAATTTCGTCCCGTCGTGCGAGACTTTACGACGAATGGCAGTGATACTTCGAATGTTTAATGTGTTAATTAATCTGAAGCGACGGAGTCGAGATAAGTAAGTACGTAAGTTAGGTTAAGTTAGGTTGTGGGAATGATGTTAACATTAGTTTGAATGTTTGAGTTGGAGATTGAAGAGATTGAAACGATTTAATTGATTAATTAGCTTCTATTTTTCTCTAAATAATTATTGTAAATTATTCTAAATAGTCATTGCAAATTATAAAACTGTAGGACATTTGGATATAACTTATTAATCGATAATATTTTTTTGTATGTATCTATTTTTCTCATTATCTATTCCATAAAAGAAATGTTATTATTAAAAATAAAACTGAAAAATCATGATATTCTAACTAGCATTTCCTGAACAACATAACTACATTTTCACATATTACGTCATCACACGTATCGCAACTTAACCTAGTTTCTAACCTAAACCACCTTACCGAACTCACTATCGACGAATTATGACATTCAACTTACGTTACCTGGAGAAACAACGTTAGTCATCGTAATAACATCGACACAGTGTTTTGATAAATACCTCCACCAGTTCATGTTGGACTTGGGCTGAGGGAAAGAGACGCGTATCGTGTTCTGCCTTGCGGGTAGTTCCACGTCCATGTCTCGGGGACACCTGACGAACGGTCGTGGCATGTCTGAAGCAACAAAGCCTGTTATTAAACATGCGGTTTTCCGTGAAACGTTCACCTTACAGTTGATAACCGGTAGCCATGCACAAAATAACTTGATTGTTCTACTGGATGCATATTTCGCGAACGGATAAAATTATTACGTATTGCGCGAAATAATTTCTCGAACTCGAACTCGAACGATAATCGAATTATCGACTCGGTTTCGATTGCTCGAAGGGATCGATTATTTGCGGTAAACTGTTCCCTTCGATCGACTTCTTACGACTCTCTTACTAATTTACGCGTTTAATTGTTTGTTGCAGTTCTATTCGTAATTATTTGCCAACGTAAAAGGTATTTCTGCTGCTATTAATTGCCGTCAGCCTCTTTCTATGCATACGAAATAAGCGCCGAGAGCACCTCGTGACAAATGGTGTGGAAAGCAAACGTTTCCACAAGTTGACTCTCTCGTCAAACTGGTGAAATATGTTTGGTTTCGATGGTAATATTCCTATTGATTGACAGTTAATTCGTGTGTTTGATTTTCGTAAATGAGATTGAGAATTTGATGTCTGTAATTGTTTGGATCTAATAAAGATGAATATTTTTGTTAATAAAATTGTTATTTGAGATTGAATTGGATTTACATTATTATGTAAATGTAATTATTACATTATTATATAATGTACACTTATTTATATTATTTACTATATTGTTAATACTTTGTTTCATTCAAAATTATTATTTTCTATACTTGTTTTCTATTTCTAATAAAAATGGAGAAATATTTCAGATATTGATAATAAATTATTAAAATATTCATAAAATAAATTTTTTCCAACTTTTACAAATTGATTATAATAACAATTAATAACAAATATGTTATATACAAATAGAATTAAAAATTTAAAGATTCCTAATCCTTGATGAGAGAGAGGGGTTTGATAATCTTATCAAAGATAGAGAAGTCAGTAGAAAGTCGAGGTTCTCAGACTCCAAACTAATTCATGGATTACACTGTCTCAGAGTCAGGAATGTCATCTGAACTTTCAATTGATTTAAAGAGAATCTCAGGATCCCAAAATCAGTGAATATCTGGTTTACTTTTTTAAAAATAGAAATGTTGAGAAATTCTTCATACATAGATTAATTTGGGATGAGTTTTTCTGAAGTCAACAATCTGAAAATTTTCAATTTTTTGAATTAATTCTATACAAATCATCTCAGTAGTAATTTTACAATCAGAAGTATCTTAAATTTCTTAATTAATTCAGAGAAAATTCAAAGAAATTGATCTTGAATTAGAAGATAATTGAATAGAAATAGAGTAGAAATAGTTGAATTCTAGAATTTTATTAAAAATTAAGAATCGAGGTCTTTGAATTTACAATCTGAAAAGGATTCTATAAATCTAGATATTTTTGACTTGATTTAGAATGCATCTTACGATACGTGGGATGGAAATGAGGTTCTTGAACTCTCAACTAACGTCTCTCTCTCTTTCTCTCTCTAACATCTAAAGTGAAGTTTCATAACTCTCGTATGATCTCCAGTGAATTGAATACTTTTGGGTATCATGAAAGTTTCGTGTGTGAGATATTATGGATTTTGAATCATGGATTGAAGTATTGAAGTTGGCGATCCCATGACACTTGAATTTTCTATGTGAATATTATCTCGAGATTGAGATTATGAAATTTTCAACTCTATCCTCATGCTATCATGTTGCTCTATACATACACTACTATATATTCCTGATAAATAATAGTGATATATAATGATATATATGATATATAAAGCGTATCATATGCAATTACATATTCTCCAAATATGAATTATTATTATATATACAAAATTCCAATGTTATTCAAATTTTTCCATCGGCATTTCATCTTATCACGTAAAACATTGAAAATAATAAAAATAAAAATAAAAATAATCTTCGTTTCTAAAGATAATATAACCAAAGCTATCTTAATTGTTGCGAAATTCTTCAAACAAATGATTGTATACCTCGATAGCCGGCAATAAATTCTGTCTGTATCAGACACAGAAAAAAAAAAGGGGGAGAGAAAACTAGTCAACCGATAGAGCAGAACTATAGAGACGGCGAAATTTCATTGCTGTTACGCGGAACAAAGCGGCATGGAAATCAGTGAAGAGAAGAATAGGCGACCAAGAGAAAGGGAAAACGAACCGACTGAAAATAACACAAGGGAGTGGAGGAAATGAAATGTAAAAAAAACTGAAACGCGTCTCTCTGCAAGCTCGTTAAGCCATGGCGTTAACGTATAGCGTCGTTAGCGACCGGCCTTTACGCCGGAACTTCCTATTATTAAAAGCTGTTTAGAGCGGCCGCGTGACTAATTAAATGCGCCGCCAGGATTTTCGTTGGTAAATAATTGCCGCTGACGGTGATCTTTCTTCCTGATCGTTCGTGAAAGCCATCTGCGAGCCGGCTACTGGATCTCCAAAGTTTCCACCACCATTTTGCCATTCGTTTCGGAAAATTAGACGTACAAATCCTCTGGTTGTAATTTCGTGTTCTCGACAGGAGAGCTGGTAAAATGCTACGAATGCCAGGTTTGTGGTTACTTGGATAAATTATTGGAATTTATAACAAATAAAAAGATAAGAGTTCGTTGGTTAACATTGACTTACAAAACAAGTTGTAACTTGGTCGGTTTTGAAGATACAATGAAATTTATAAGGCATCTGTAAAAAAAGGAACGTAGAATCTAATTAAATTTATTCAAAAAGAGCCTGAATATAGTCAATAGTACAATTGTTATATTTTATATTTATTTTTCTATATTATTTTTTGCATTATATATATATATATATATATATATATATATA